GGCGGGCCGCGGGGCGAGCACCCGCCCTACACGCCGGGAGCGCGCAACATCCCGCTGCGCATGCGCGGGGGGAGGGAGAAGGGGGGGCACCGGGGGTTGTCCCGGGATCGTCCCAAAACCGGCGGGTTTGGACAGAAAACAGCGAGTTTGGACAAAAAACAACGAGTTTCCTGAAAATCGGCTTTGCTAAAAAAACCGGCGAGTCTCTAAAACCTCAAATAGAAGAAACTTTGCAGCAAATCTTCATCGTTTCGCTCAAAAGCGGCAGATTTGTTAAAAAAACCCTAAAAAACCCACCAGCGACTTCCTGAAAAAGCAGCTGATTGGGAAGAAAACCCAGAAAAAACAGCAAGTTTCTGAGAAAACAGCAAGTTTGGAAAGGAAAGCCATCAAGTTTTTGAAGAAACAGTGGATTTGGGGAAAAATAACTAACAAAAAACAACAAAAAACCAACAAGTTTTGGAAAAAGCAGCGAGTTTCTAAAGGAAAATAAATTCAATTTCCAGGGCGGGGGCAGCCGAGGAGGGTAAGTCAGTCCCTGTTCTGCAGGGAGGCACTGATTGGATTTTATTTCTTCTTTGAGGCCAAATCCTGCCGGGGTGACAACCATCCCGCTTCCCTCATCCCACCCGACTCAAAATTAAGGCGAATAAATTTGTTTTAACCACTAATTTTTTATATAATGTGATCCAGCTTCAAGCCCTGACCCCATTCCTAATATAAACAGATTTTTCCGCAGCGATATTTCATTTTTCCCCACATTATCTCCTTTTCCCCAGCGTTATCCCAACACTTTTACTGCCGGACACTAACAAACATCCCTCGGGAGCCATGGATGCGCGGCGCTGGAGGGGGCTCCCACTCGGGAATGGTTCTGATTGTCCCAACGGCTCCCGCTGGGTCATGGATGTGTTTAACGAATGTGCCCAGGACGGTCGGGACATCGCCAGCGTCATCTTGGGTTTGGTTTCCATCTTCTGCTTTGCAGCTGCCTCTTTTCCGTAAGTATCGCTCCCAAAACCCAGCTGAGCCCTTCCCATGGCACAACACCCCCCTCTAAAAATCAAATATTAAATCTACCTGGGAAAAGCAACCTGGGCTTGGAAAATTTGGGTTTAACAGAAGGAGAGGGAGCAGGCAGTACAGCCCCATAGCTGCCTTTGTTATTTTATTGTGATTATTTCACTTGGCAGCTGTAATAACCCACGTAAGCCGACTGCAATGCAGTTGTTGCAGGTCATACGTGCGGAAAAAATGCTTCCTGGGCTTCTTGGAAGTGTTGGGACAACTGAGGCAGAGGGGGATGTGCGGGGTCATGCTCGGTCTTGGTGTGTTCATCAGGTTATTTCGTAATCAGAGAGCTGGTTTCTGTAACTGGTGCTTCTCCTCGTTGCTTTCTGCCCCCGGCACGAGGGACAGATCACAAGGGCTCGAGCCCAGCGGGTTGCTGTGAGCACCCAGTGGGTCACAGGATTTTTTACAGGGGTCAGTTTGCAGAGGAAATCTTTACTTTTCCTTCCCCTCTGAGTGCTTTGAGTCAGTGGCAATTGCGAAATGATTCAAGTGGGAGCAACAGGGAAACCTGGGGATGGTTCCCAGGTAGAACTGGGTTATGGTTTGTGTCTCTGCCCAACTCTCTCTTTGCAGGCAGTTTTACCAAGCCTGCAAAACGGGCATCATGGACCGGGCTCTCTCCATTTATTTTCTGCTGGGATGGCTGGGTGGAGACCTCCTAAACCTCATCGGTTCTTTCCTGGCTGATCAGTTGCCGCTGCAGGTACTGAGCGACTCGGTGGGGCTGGGTTTGCTCTCAAACACCCTGAACTCCAGGAAGGAGGGATGGGGATGGGA